TCCAATACATTCTAAACGTACGTGTGTGTGTGTGTGTGCGTTTGTAACCCCCCGTCAGATGTGTGTATATAATTAGCCTAACTAAGTAATGATGGCCTTAACTTCCCAGCGGCGAAGCAGCTATGAATGATGGGACAGGTGGAGGGAGGGTGATCGGGACCTCCCAACCCCGGGGGGCAACGGGATAGACGGACCCCATCTGGTGGCATCACGTCACATGACCGGCGGTCATGATTGCCCCCTCTTGGCCCCATAAAGAGTTCCCCCTAGAGGTTATAATGCGGGACTACAGAACAGACATGGAAGGGTTTGCGTGTAGAAGCGGCGGTTTGTGTGCAGACATTGTGAGTGTGTGTTTGCGTGTGTTAAGGCAGGAGCGTCATGTGTTTCTTTGGGCTGAAATCATCTCCCCTTTTCTCTCTTTGTGGAATCACCCTGGGAAGCTGCCACCCGCCTGACCCCTGAGTGTGTTTATAAGGAAAACAACAGGAGGGCTTTATCCTCTTCTCCTTCTCGCCTTTTCACTTATTCTCCACATTCTTTTTCTTCCTCATTGATTTTTTGCTCCCCTGCTCTCTTCTTTCCTCCGTTGTTTCTAATTCTCCCCCTCTTCTAAATTCTGGTTTTTCCATTTTTTTCTTCCCTTGCTTCTCTTTTTTTGAGAAAATCCACCTTTCCTACTCCTGATTTCTGTTATTTCTTTTGCTTCTCCTACTGTCTTCCACCTATTTTTCCTTCTATTTTATCCCACAGGGAGGAATAGCTGCTAATGTGTTAAACTCTGCTGTATTCAATGTGTGACATATGTTTTTTTTTTTTTCATTAATAATCAAATGTGACTGGTCCAATGGCAACAATATAATCAATATGAAATGTCCTCTTTCAAAGTGTTCTTTTAGTAAACCGAGAACAAATAGAGATAAAGTTTGGAAAGATTTAAACTCTCCTCCTAATGCCGTTTACTTTCCCTCCTGTCCCCTCCGTCCTTTCCTCCCCCTCTCCCTTCTCCCCTTTCGCTGGCTCTGCCTATGCCTTACCTGTGCCAGGGCACAGAATAACAACAACGCAGCAGAAGGGGATGAAGAAAGCAAACAAGCTGGGGAGCTGGCTGAAATGAGGGATTACCCCCCCACCCCGTGCTTTGTTAAGATCTCCAGTTACTGATTCATTGATAAGCCCCTCCAACTGGCCGCGAGTAACTCAGCCAATCAGGGATCATTAATCCCCAGGACAAACAGACTGAGGTGCTTTTATTTTGTTAATGGCTCATTATGACACATTTTGAACTGACACAGAACTGCTGAACCGCGCTCTCGTCTGTCGGCCCGATCGTTCTTTCTGCCTCCTGCCATCGACCCCCCCGAACCCTTCCATCGGCTCTCAGCGATTCCTGCTGCTCGGAGCGACGCCAGGAGGAAAACACAACTGTTGAAATTGCCTCGATCGGCCCCGTGAAGGCTTAACGACTCACTAAATAGCCTGCAACAACAAAGGCATTTCGAAAAGGAAAAAAAAAAACGATGAATTGATGTCGCTGGTAATGAAAGTTATTGCTGAGGATCACGGACGCCGCTGACAGTTTACAGCTCGGTAAACGAATGAAGGGTTTCTCACGCCTCAGTCTGCCCCCCCCCACCCCATCCCGGCAGGGGAGGGACGGGGTCAGCAGATGCTCTTTGAGTCTCAGGGTGCAGATAGCGGAGAGATCACAGTTTAGGGCCCGTTTTTTAAAAAAGACGGAACCAGAAGACGGTGAGAGATGAAACGTCATCTTTACGCGAACACATCTCGAGGCAGGCTGCGCGTTTTACGGCTCCGTGTCTTATCAATATTTCACCGGTGCTCCGCAAAAAAAACGCCCATCGAGCAAAACATCTGGCGAACATCTGGCTCGTCTGTTTGGTGCTCTCGCCACTCTCACGGTGCGTTTTATAGTCGTTTGTAACAAACACCCACGGCCCATATTTCTAGATTTAGGTTTTACACGTGTTAGGCCACATTTGAGCCTCTTCCGCACTGACATCCAAATCCCTCTCTGGTGAAGCGATCACGTGGGCGGGGAATATAGATGTGATTCCAAGAGAAGAATGAGAAACCAATTGGCCAAACCAAAGAGTTGCGCCGATCCCCCCCCCCCCGGCGGCTGAGTAATACTATTTTTGTTTTCTTGGTGTTATTCTTTATCTTAAACCCCACTTACCCGTTCTTCTCCCCGGCTGCCAACCTCACAGTATTTTCTTATCGTTGCAGATTTGTTGTATCCAGTAGGGATTTGTATGTCTTGGTCTTTTGTGGTGCGACAGTGCAGATAAAGTTGACCTGCTATCTGCTCATGTTGTGAGTGGTGACTCAGCGTTGCTGTAGTTGTTTCACATGGTGCTGTTTAGATTTGATTTGCATGTCAAATTATGAAAATATATTTAGCTGTAAGTATTGTTTTTGAATAAATAAATGTGCTTCAGGCCCAAATTAGTTTTATAAATGATTGAAGCCTCTCAGCAAAATGATAATGAACTAATTCACTAGTTTTTTAATTATTTTTATTATTATTAAACATGATTTTTTTTTTATCTGCTCTAAAGCTCAGATTGAAATCCAATCAGAAGTGCTCACTGTAGACTGAGCGCTGTCCCGACTCCATCTGCACCCATCTGAATATCTGAACATGAACCCACCTCTCTCTCTCTCTTACAAAAGCTTTAGTTACAAACTCTTCTTAATCCTGACTAATCTTAAACTGCTACTCCCGGGTCACATTTGATTGACAGCCAGTGACACTTGTGAGGTTGACGCTAACACTTAAGGCCTAATAAAACACAGGGGGACAAAGCAGAATAGCCCACAGTGCTTCTGGCGGAGGACATGATACTGTGGAGCCGGTTGACCCCTGGTAGTCATAATACCAGCGTGCAGCTCTGAAACTAGAGGCTAAAGGAGGCCATGCTGTGCCTGCCTGGAGCCAAAGCGCCCAGCTGGTGCTGAAGGGGGGGGGAATAGAACTGAAAGAGAAAACAAGGGCTTCGGTTTCGCGTTTGACCAGACTGTAATTAGAGAGCGAAAAAGATTAGAAGATGGCTGCTTGATGCCGCGAGAAACCCTTCGCAGCCGCCTATCCGGCACGCACGCACGCCATCCGCTCATTTGTGGCAAACCCAGTAGGGCGGCCACTAATCCTTCGGCATATTTACAATCTGTTTAACGACAACGCGATACCCCCGGCACGCCGTGGCCAGCACACACCTCCCTCCGCGCCTCTCATGCTCCCCGCCAAAAAACCTGACACGTATAAGTCAGCGGCAACAGCCGATCCGCCCTCCCTGTCTCACCTGGCCTCAGATCAGCTGACTGGTACCACATTTCTGCATGTCTGAACGTCACGCAACGTCACGGTAAAGAAAGTTTCCCCCTGTATCCGATGGTCGGCCGCTCTCGCGGTACGTGGCCCGTCTCCCCCGGCGCCGCTCACCGTGTCAGTGAGCAGAGGTGGAGCATTGGAGACGTCCTGCGGCATGTGAGGGACACTGAGGGGCCGCCAGCGGCTGCAGACACACAACCAGCTCGGCCGTCCAAGCGTAATCGTCTCTGCTGAAATCCCTCAGAAGTGCAACCTCACACGGTGTCACATGGGAATATGTGATATAATGAATACCTGGCGTATCACGCAGCTGCACCCCCCCTCCCCTCCCCTCCCGCCCCCTCCTCACTTCTGTGTCCACTCACTTAACAGTAAACACTAGAAATCTCGTTTCTAGGCGAAGCTTGAGAACCGGCCTCCTCTCCCTGACTCCAGATTCCACGAGGGGCTCCTACATCAAGCTGTCATATCAGGCGAATGAAAATCTCCTCCTACAAGGGGGGGATCCTCTTAACGCGGCTAAAGGCACATGCTAACCAGAGGATTAGCCTTGCATCGCTAGGGGACTTTAATTTCAGCACCGGCATAAGTCATCGCTGTTGATGTACGGCTCCGAGCTGGCTCGCGTGGGTCCTGAGAGGTTTCTGCCGGGGCAGGTGGGGGATTCGGTTGAGTCTCACAAGAGGCTCGCGATTGAGAGTCACATAATGGGATGTTATAAACACAACCAGAGCCGGGGAACGTCTAGTTTCCAAACGCCTACGGGAAAACGTTCTTCAGCTGCGGCCTCACGGAGAAACACAAAGTATCATCTGTTGTCATCACGTGTCGGAGCACTCGGCTCCCCTATCGAGGACGAGTCATCAAGGAGTGTGATAGGGAGAGACTCCCCAAACAAATCAACCAGTAACCACACTCCCACTTAAGCAGCTGATGCCAATGCACCCTTGAGCAAATCACCACTTCGGGGGATTTGAAAGTTGGCTGCGTGCGAAACCCAGAGCAGGCTGCAGTAAAGAGAACATGCGCGCTCAGCATGTCTTCATCGGGTTGGTAAATCATTGAAAAGGTCGAGTGCAGTGATCGCATGGGATTTATCACTGCAGACATGAAACCCATAGAACAATCACCTCCCCAATGACAGATTCATCCTGGTATCATTGTTGACATACAGAAAAGTGCCCTCACTTTAGAGCCATGCATGTAGGCTCACATGCGTCTTTCACAGGCACATTAATAAAATACAGGTCTTTTAAACATGAAGGCATTTCCTTCGCTTCTACATTGTCTTTGCTGGCATTTTCTTCTCCTGCCTTCTGCGAACGCATTTCTTGGGCCACCTGTCACTCGGTGCGACAGTGTGGAACCATTTGCAGGAATGTGTATCGCATGCTTGTGTGACATGGAAAATGTGGCTACATAGCGCTTCTAATGATCAAATACCCAGAACAGACTTTGTCTTAAGACTTTAAAACAAAATAGATTATCAGTTGAAGTGAAAGTGTGAAGGTCCCAACTTTTGAAGGTCATTTACAGTCTTGAAGGTCTTGAATTCCCTGATGAAGATTTAACCATAATTACTTGACGTTTTCCTTTACAACCCGCCTACTCACATTTGCCCCTTCTCGATCTGTGTCCCGCCCAGGTTCTACCGGGGCGATTACCACATCGACGTCTGCATCAACGACTACCTCGACGTCTACTGTCCGCACTACGTCGGGCCGGTCTCTGACGACCGGGCCGAGCGCTACATCCTCTACATGGTGAACTACGACGGCTACAGCTCCTGTGACCACACCGCCAAGGGTTTTAAACGCTGGGAATGCAACAGGCCTCTGTCGCCCAACGGGCCGCTGAAGTTCTCAGAGAAGTTCCAGCTCTTCACCCCCTTCTCCCTGGGCTTTGAGTTTCGCCCCGGCAGAGAGTACTACTACATCTGTGAGTACGCCGATCTTCCATCCACTGAAATGATTGTACTTTTGACACTAGGAACATTTATCCAATTTAAAAAGCAACATTCATCACGCGGCAGCCAAAAAAAGTATTGTTTGGGTATCAGTGTTGAAACTAACAGTGAAAAGTAATACTTATGAAACCCAACTTTTACCTTTTAACTTAAAAGATTAATATCGATTTCATTTTGGAATCTTGCAAAAAAAGACAGCAGCTGTGGTCAGAGTTTGTTGTTGCAAGTCCTTTGAATGAGCGCCAAGCCAAAATACAAGCCGGAGGGAGCAAAACATCTCTTCAGTCGAGGTCTTGTCTTACTGTCTTTTGTTGAGGACTAGCAGAGCTCAGTTTTCTCCTCCTCGTGAGAAGACTCGGGAAAACAAACAGCCGGGAAGCCTTGTGTTATCATAAGTAATGTCAGGGCCCTACAGGGGCAGAAGAGCGGGACTAAAGGAGATACAGTGCTCTCCGAGGTAGATTCTCTGGTATTTAACCGACACCGGGCAGAGGAAGCTTATAGCAAGAAGTGCAAAAAGTCAATGAAAAGCATTAAACAAAAAAAGTCACACGGTTGAAGAAATATGGAGAAAGTTTTCGAACTTAGTAGTCAAACTTTTTAGCTTCGCTTACTGACCCAACAGGTGTTTGGAAAAGGTTCCGGAAACTTTGAGACTGGTCAGATTGTGTTTATAGGATGCCAGAAGATGATTATTTTAGGTTGAAATCAGAACGATTCAAACTTTTAGGACACACACACACACACACACACACACTTAAATCTACCTACCGTATCTTTGGAAACTCCACTGGAAGCTGAAATGAAATCCTTTAGGTTTTTAAGGTTATTTTCGTTGCAGCGAAGTAGATGACTGTATTGTTTAGGGGAAATTGTGCTCTGCTCGCCCACCACACAATTGTTGATGTGTTTGCAATTCCTTGCGTGTAGATAAGAAACATCCTGGATCGCCTATAATTTTGTCTAATTTGTTCTGTTGACTCGGGTTGATGTGAAAGCCGGTGAAGACAAAGTTCTTGTAACATTTGATGATGATTGATCATCCAGAGGGAGAGAGACAGTCCTTAAGGTCCTGAGCAGTGTCGGGCCATATGGACCGTCTTACGCTGACTCAGATTAATGAATCATCCATTAGCTCTTTCTTCACTAAAGACACTCGTCTTTCCTCTGGGAACTGGTGAACCGAGCAAAAGACAGACACCAAATAGTCCCGGAAGGCTCTACTGCGAGGCCATTTCCTAGATTTGTCTTGGTCTCGGGGAGTTGTTAAGTTGAAAGTTTTCCATTTTCCTCATGGTTTTCTTTTCTCACTACTACAATAACCGATAATCAAAATAAAATAAAAAAAACACAACATGTTTTCCCAAATGGAACCATGTTTTTTCCTCCAATCCACGTCCACGATTGTTTGTGTTACAGTACAGTAAAGTTTTGTTTGTGTCAAGTCGCATGTCGACTGTATCTTCAGCTCTATGAAAGCATAACACTTAGTTTATACCAGGTTCATACGGATAATGTCATTCTGCAACGTCAACTGAACACATTGAGTGGGAGATTCATGTGCGCTTGTCTCAGTGGAGACAGACGCTCCTTTGTCCTCTTCCATGGTGATCATTATCGGCCCCGGGCATGGGGGGGGAGGGACGTCAAATAGACACCTGCAGTTGGCCACGGGCCTACAGCGTCTGGCAGACAGAAAAAACACCCAGAGGAAAAGCCGCCCCGGTGTGGGATCAGTGTTTGCGGCTGGTCCGAGAAGGTCAAAGGGCACCGACGTGAGGACGAGGTCTGGTGCTGCGAGCTTCTCCGGGCCTGGTGTTTTTCTAATAGAGCCTCGGCGGAGCGGGGAAAGCCCGATCTAATCTCAGGGGATAGAAATCCAATTTTCAGAGGAGACAGTTGAGAGTCTGGCTCTCCCTGTGTGAGAGGGAGGACTGTCTCCCCGTAAAGCCCTCACGCTTCAAACACCCGAGTCCCGCTCCGTACAGTCAGAGCAGATCTACATCGATAATGACACCCCCCCCCTCCCCCCCACACCAGCAGTCCCCCTCCAAGTTCTGCAAAGACAAAAGGCGCTTTGTTTCCCGAGATAAACCGATCATCACAGGAAAAACATCTGATCCCACAGTATTTAATTCAGGATCCGTCTCATTTGCCTCCCAGTCACACCAAACCCCCCCCCCCCCCCCCGGAGCCCCAAATTCGGGGGGGGGCTCCCTGGCCCCTTTGGAGACCCCCAAACCCCCCAAGGGACGAGAGGGGTAATAGCCTCTTTCGCCGGACACCTTATCGAACTGGCTGACATGCTGCGGAACCTGCTCAGCAAAACGTTTTCTCCTCCTCTCCGAGGAACTCCAATCGGCTGCGGGGCCGCTATCCGACTATCGGACGGGTCTAGAGTTACAGCCAGAGCTGGAGTTACGATCACGGCGAAGCACGCCTGCGTTGCTCGAGGACAGACGGGCCCCGACTCTGACCTCCGTGGCAGACATGAGAGAAAGACAGAGGGACAGTTGGGTAATTGTGTGTGAGTTGGAAAGCTGTGAGGGGGATTGTGGTACGGGGGGAGGAGAGGGGGAGGCGGTGGGACGCAATGTCAGCGGAAGTGAGTAACCGAAATAACAAAGAATGAAGAAAAGATCCCGCACAGCGTTTCGCAGCTGCAACTAAGTGATTTATGTACACGCAAGGATGGAGGATCTTCCTCCAAAACATCTCAGAAAAGTGACCTCACCCGACAAATAATCCAAGTGATCACCAATTTCCCACATTGCAACGTTTGTCCAGCCTAATTATAGCCAGTTACGTAACAAGATGTAACAAAATAGGTTCCTGTCCCTACATTAAAAACCATGAAAGCACCAACAAGCTGCCTGTGGCACACAAGAGATAATGCACGAAGAGAGCTCCCTGTGCAGGGCACCCCAGGGTGATTTATCCTGCTCTGCGTGGGCTAATTAACAAAAGAGTGGCCGTGTTTGGTCTAAACAGAAAAGCATCTGCCGCGGCTGTAACTGCCGATGCGTTACGGCGGACAAAATTTGAGGTGTCAGTTTTTGTGATTCATTTTGTCAACTGAATGATCAGTAAAATGGCAAATAAAAAACGGTTTATCTGACATGCAAAGAGATTGTTGGTTCAAACACAAATCTGGCTATTTGAGCATGATGCAACACAAAGTCACAGCTTTCTTTAGTCCCACAATGTGTCTTAAAACAAGTCTCCCTGAAGACGTCCGTCCCAGACGGCAGAAGAACACTTTTTTTTTTTGTAGCTGTCGAGGAAAGTTAGAGATAGAGAACGGCCGCCAAGGAAACAGACGGGGACGGGTGTCTTTTAGCCGGTCGAGTTCGGAAGCCGCATCCGAACCCGAACTCTCCCGTCTGTTCCTCTGGCCCGAGTAAGTCACTCGATACCCGCCGACACAGACAGAAGGACCAGATCGACTACCGACTCTCCCTCGTCTGTTTTCTGCCCTCTGCTGCTTCACTTCACCAATATTCCTCTCATGGTGAAGTTGTAAAAGAGGATTTCTATCCCCTCTCACATCTGATGAAAAGCGCTCGGCAGCAGGAGATCAGAGGTCGGAGTGTCGAGGCCCACGGGGGGAAGTCGGAGAAGGGAAAAGGAGACGGTCGGCAAGACCAGACGAGACAAGACAGTCAAAGTGTTGTTGACAAAAGCGCACACAGAAGTATTGTGAAGTAGAAGTCACACCTTCTGTTCGCCACAAACTAATTGGTTTTTGTTAGTTCGGAAAAACAATCCGAGCAAAAGAGGAAAAAATAGGTTTTTAACCTTTGCTCTTCACAATCAGGAAACAGAGAAAATAAGACGTTGCAGGTGAGCATAACAGCACGTCACTCATCTGCAGAAATGACCGCCCCCCCCCCGGCCAAATAGACCTGGAAACACGAGATTGAGTTGATTTTGGAGGGTGAAGTGGATGCGAATGGAGAACTTTGAGCGGGTTGGCAGCAATTTGTATGACCGCAAAACGTAGTCTGGAACCAGACTAATGCTGCAGATCAGGTGATCTTGGGTTCTTGCCTTGGCAGCTTAGACAGTTATTATACAAACTCTGTAGTTAATGCATAGAAGAAAAGAAAGGGCCTCTTACAACTATCAGGACTGTCAGGAAAAGTTGTCGGTTTCCTCTTGAAAAAGTTGTCATATGACGAATGTTGAAACACAAGCAGCCGTATACTAAAATACACTTTGTTGGATTTGTGTCCCTTGTTTAATTAAAAGGTTTGTGCACGAAAAACAATTGAAGTTTAGTCGAATATTGAAATGAAAGCAGTAATGTCACATTGAGTCATTGAGCAAAATGCACCACTGCCATTACAATCCATATCCACACAAACTTAGATTAGATCTTAGTGTTAAGCAAATGCAAAAGTGGGAGTAAACTGTTGAAAGTGTTTTGCTGTGAACCCCTGCGCGATGTCTCCACAGCCTCCATCACTGACGACAAGGGGAGAAGAAGCTGCCTTCGTCTCAAGGTCTTCGTCAGGCCTCAGAGTGAGTCACAGTTTGTTGAGTCTGGGCCCGTCGTATCGCGCCCCGGCTTCTGATCGGGCCGCGTACGAATGGCGCTCGACTTCTCTAATCTTCACATCCTCTTTTCCTCTTTGTTTTTCCAAAGACAATTGTGTGAAAAGCCCTGGCACCGCGCAGGAAGGGGTCGATTTTGACGACAGCAGTCAGAACTCCCTAGAACCCAGAGGTGGGTTGGAACATAGGGCACATACCGTCAACCTCTATTTGTTTTACTGCAGACTGTTTCTTTTCCTTGCATTTGATCCGTCGTGAATTAACATGCACATACTGCCATGATCATTTAAATATGCATTTACACATAACAGAATTTATAACCTGCAGATGTATGGCGGACTGTCTCTGCTCTACACTCCCTTCTGGACCGGGCTTTCCGTCACCGTTTTTAATTTTCAATTCTCTCCCTTCAGACGGCATCGGTCACGAGTCACCAGAGCCGGCTCGCCGGGACGTGAACTCCGCGGGTCGGCGCCACACTTCAGTGCCGCTGCTCAGCTCGGCGCTCATCCTCCTGGCTGCCATCCTGTCTTTATAGCGCCCAGCCTGAGGAATCCATCAGGAATGGACTGTCCTGATTGGACCAGAGCCCCCCCCCCACCCACCCTACTCCACCCCGCAACCCCTCCCCTCAAAGGAGCACTTTTTGAAATAATAATAATAAAAAGAAAAAAAAAAGAAAAACACGAGACAATCTCTCGAGGTGACAAGGGAGAGGAAGGGACTTGGACCCCGAAGCCTTCGTCGTTCGTTGACCACTAGAGGGATTCTTGACTTTTCCGGCGGGTGCCGGCGGTCGAGGCCCCCCCCCCCCGAGGTGAAAGATTCGGCCTCGCTGCAGTTTCACAGCGTGCCGATATTAAAAGACAAGCACGCGTCTACGCTTTCAAACATATACACGCGCGGAACGCGGGCTGCGCAGCCAGCGAGGACGCTGTTCCGCTTAAATGGCTTAAAGAAGCACAGCAGGATCCCTCAGAAGTTTACAGACTTTTAACCTTCTTTTCTTTGTTTTTCACCTAACCCCCGACATGCAACATGATTACAATCAAGTAAATCACATAAAACTGTCAAATGTCAAAGTGGAAGACGTTTGGACGAAGACGGATGTTGTCGCTAAGCGCGTGAGCCTCTGATGAAAAAAGTGAAATGTTGAAAAAAGGAGTCGGATGTTGAGAGTAAAGAAATTGTAAGAAGCACTCATCTTTTAGTGTTTTGAATAGGGCCGAATTAAAGATTGATTAATGTGTTTGTTTTGGGTTTTTTAACATATCACCTAATTCAATTGTAGCAGCCAACACGAGTGTATAGTAAAATATTTGAAGTGGATACGGTATTTTGCCAGGCAAAATGTATTTTCCTATTTATTGTGAAGTCCTCGTGCTTGTTTTCTGATCTGGTTTAGTCTGTAAGTACAGTAGAAAGGCAATAAAAGAACAGCAACTACACTTACTCATTAAGTTAGTCCATATTACACACTTGTTTTTTATACTATCATTAAAAAAAAAAAAAAACACTGAGAACGGTCTATGTATCGCTTTGGTTTGATTGCTGATATGTTCTTTTATTGTTTTTAACAAAGTTCAGGAAGAAAACAAAATAAGTCTGATGTGCCATCAGGGTGTAGTGATCGTAGAATACTTCTGTTTCAATTATGTCATTAAAATGCCACAAATGTAGTTTTACTCTTTACACTATTGCTTTTGTGAATCACTGTTATAACACAACTATTGTACATAGAGACAAATTTCCTACAACTTTCAGGGATGTGTCCCATGTCCTAACATGAGGTCTTTTCCTTTGCTTTTCTAAAAAGGAGGGTTACTCACTTCACATAAGCAGAGAGAGGTGTTTGTTCTCTGAGAGCAAACTGAATGGAAGCTTTAAAGTTCTCCTGTTGAGATCAATACTCGTGTTTTCCGAGCAGGACTAAGCATCGAGACGGGCTGTTGATGTGATTGCTTATTGTGTCGCATTCAGACGGGAGGATTCTGCATGGAAAAGGCCTGTGATGCGCAGCAATGATGATTACTTTTAAATTACCACACGTTTCTCTTCTCCTTGACTTGAACCAAGCTGGTTGTGACATTTTTTTTTCCAATCCTGCAAATGCATCCTTTGCAAACCTTGCATCCTCCCGCTGACCTTTGGTGACCTTGGACGTCGGTGCGCAGAGCATGGAGGCTTGTTTCCCCGTTCAGCCGTCAGCATCGGCTGGATTTGTTTTTTTCAGAACCGGCTCAATGCCTCTGAAGCAGCAAACTCACCTGTAAATTAATTTATTAACTACTGGTTTAAAAAAAAACCTGAAAGGTGGAATGCTGCGTTTACTTGGAATCGAGCAGATGGCAAACCAGAAGGGACAGGACGCCTTGGCTCCCTCACACAAAAGAAGATGTTTTATTTACATTAAACGCAACAACGAGAAAGCTGCACTTCCCAGCTAGATGCAGCATTTGCATTGTTGCTGCCTGCTAGATTTGAATTGCCTGATTCCGGGTGAATGCAGCCACAAATTAGAATTATGCTAGGACAATATCACACGATCCACAGGCCGACATGTTGCTGGCGTTTAGCTTCAGTAGCGGCTTAAAGACGGTTCCTGCCTTAAACTCCACACAACCGATGGTCAAGCCTGATGCTCATCAGGGTTTGTTGTCTGTTTCATAGACAAAACACAAAGAAGGTTCACCTTGAGTCAGTATCTCTTTCTCTCTCATATATATATATATATATATATATATATATATATATCCCCTGGGAGGATTTGGAGGAATTGTTCATTTAAGATGGCCATAGTGTCGCATTTTGAGGGATTTATCACCAGAAATGGAATATAGTATGTTTGAGTGGCCACGTCCACTTAGTCCACCATGTTGATGCTACTGAATCCTACTCAGTTTTTGGAGGAAAATATTTGAATTTGAGGGCACAGATGACCACATATTAAGCATGTTGTTCTCCTCACACCTACCAGCCTGTATGCATCTTAGTTCACCATTAAGTCCACGGTCACTGTAATCTTTGCCTCCAGCCGCAACGACAAAAACCAATCCGTTAGTTTTGTGGATACTGTGTATCCAACAATGAGTCTGCTGAACATACAGCGTCAGTTCCTTTCTCACCACTTTTGAAGGGAACATTAATGTTCTTAGCAAGAAAAAAATATTTGAAAACAAATTCAATGTTTGATATAAAAAAGAAAAAAATGCTTTGTTTCTTTTTATATGTCTTTTTTACAAGCAAAAACAAAACAGCATCAACATCGCAGCCCGTGTCTGTTAATGCGTTTGTGCAAATACGGCACGCATCATGCAGTGTGGTCGGGTCACAATCACGGATCAAAGCCCCTGAGAAGAAGCAAAGGGGCAAGAATAGCGGTCCCCCCCCCTCGAAAAAAGACACTCTTGTTTATTGTGTTGCAGCAAAAAAGTGTGTTGAAGGTGCAGGATGTCCTTTATGTCTGCTGGCGGCCTCTCGCTAACATCACCTCCGACTGTTTCCCAGCCGAGCAGCCGGACTCAGGAGAGACGCGGGCGGCTTTCTCTATCTCTAAAATCTGTTTTCCACCTCCAGTTTTGGGTGTTTCACGTTTGCGTCAGCTGACTGTGCTGCAAAGAGGGGCGAGCGATATGTTCTAAGGACTTCTTCTTCTACTTCTTCACCTGATGTTGGTACCATGTAGCCTGAAGCTAACGCCACTGTGTCTCTGGTTTGCAGCATCTGTTTTCCATCCTCTGTATCTTAACAAAAAAAAAAAAAGGATGTATGTGTTTTTGTCAGTGCATCTTACATTGGGGAGGTTCATTTGCTACTTTATTAGACTTTGATGTGCCACAAAAACGCACATTTCTTTTGAAATTGTAGTAAGTGTAACTTGTGCCTATGACCCCCATCTTCTCTTGTACTCATCTAAACTCTTCTAATGTCTTTTTTCCTGCTCAATCACTCACTAGAATTTTCTACAAAAAGGCCATTTCTTTGTAAATACACGTGTTGGAGCAGCCATGACTAAAAAAAAAAAACTAAAAAAAGATTTAATAAATATTTCTGTCGTTGTAATTACCGCGTCCCAATTTGTTTCTTTAATCGTTTTCGCCGACGACTCACAACTTTGCTAAACGGGAGAGAAGATCCACAAAAGGAGCGGGAAGGCTTCGCGGCAGCGCCGGCTGCTCGCCGTGGTCCGTGGTCGTCACGAGATGCGTTATCACACAGGCAGAGTCCGGGGGAAGAGGGTGAACAGCTGTTTCTCTGTAATCGGGAGGCAATTTGCTGACTGAAAAAGAAACAACTTCCATTAATCTTCACGGGAATGTGCAGCCCTTCAGGCTCCGCCAAAAGCTCCTGCTGTCTGCTTCTATTCCTCGCCCGGCGTGTCCCTGCCCTCTTTTCCCCTTTGTGTAGCTATACGGTGACTCTGCCGCCTCTCAGCGTGACGCTGTGAAAGGTTTGAGACATCGCGACATTCAAACGGCGTGGTCACAATGACACTGTGAGAGATTTCCGGGAAAAGGTAAAAGCACACAGTGTTCTCTGTGTTCCATCGGCTGTGTCAATGGAAGCGTGCTGCTGGTGGGAATCGTTTGGGCCAATTAACTGTTCAACTGGTGGAATAAAATCATTTCCACGCCCAGGTACTTGTCACAAGGGCCAACGTATTAATTAGTGGCCAAAAAAAAACCATTTTGATTGTCTTTCCCTGACTAGGCCCTTCAGTACTGGAAGATATATATTTTTTCCAAACACCCAGTCTTTGTATCAAAGACTTCCTGTGCGGAATTTGTAGTTGCCGACTCTGATGGCCACGTGACATCGCTATGACAACACAAAGGTAAACTATGAGTTTCTCACGGGCCGAGTAAAAAAAACGTTGAGAAAGCACGATTCTGCACTAGTGTTAAAAGTGAAAGTATGCATAATAAAAAAATAAATATGTTGGATAATGTGCATAATTACAATTGCAAAAACCTATTGAAGTGCCATTCTGAAGTTGGATATTTTGATGATGCTTCAGTCACGTTTTGAACAATAAATAAACCCAGCTGCTTGTAAAGAGACGCCTCTGATGGGCCGGTTCTCCCCTCGTCCATAACCGCCGCCGACACCCGAGTCAACCGCCGCCCCCCGTCTCCGTCCCGAGGACGAGGCCACGTCTATTCTCAGGCGGCGCTGACTGAGGGACACGCTGCTGTTCGCTCGCAGGTCACCGGCGGTTCAAGAGGGGTTGAAGACCAAAGAGAGGCCTTGGTGGTTAGAGAAGCTTCACTTGCAAGCACAAGGGCCCACTTCAGCGTCGAACCCGGAGTGTCCTCCACGTGCCCTTGAGCAATATAATTAAGTCGTAAAATTTGGTCTTGTTTTCAAGGAACAGTGAAGTCATCAAACTGCTGTGGCAGATTTAAGAAAAGTATTTTAGGACCATTACCACGACAACCACTGAGGACACACATCACTTCACATTATGAAAACACAAAATACACATGCAGAGTTTAATATGCAGACATGTTTATCAGCCCGGTCTCATGTATTACTGACTGCATTTTACAAGGAACATAATGCTGTCTGCATTACATGGAAGCGCCAATATACATACCTTGCAAATGACAAAATGTCACTAATAAATGTGTCTCTGTATGGTGCAGTTTAGGTAAAGATCGTGCTCTTGGTTCGATAAAAAATATAGTGACATGTACAAGTACAAATATGTAATAATATTTGACCGAAAGCAATATTGCTCGAACCTCTCGTGGGACTCAGGACGCCGTCCCCCAACCCTGGTGTGTAATTGCTGCTCTTTGTTTTTCCACAATCTCTGCCAGAAGCCTGACCACAATCCCCGTGCGACGAACGAATGTTGTACTTCCTGCAGACCAACACAACAATGCCCCAGAACACGATCCAGCCAGAGATTAGGTTTCTATCTGAAATGTAATTTGCAGCACATGAATGCATTTGTAAGCGGCCGAGGTGCCAAACTCCTCCCTGCTCTGGATGTCGTCATTCATCTATATTCACAGGAGTGTTTGGGTTAACGTTTGGGTCGAGTGAATGTTAGTGCACACATCTTGAGTCACTGCTGCTGACTTTTGTCGTGGACCAAGGAATGAGAACCATGTCCTGTTCCCTAGATTTTGTTGTTTAAACAAATGTCATTACTTTTTAAAATGTATTTAACTTAAAAAATGTAAAATGAGTTGCATGTAAACAGCCTGTCAGTGTGGCCATGGATTCAATACAGCACCACTTTCTTTCATTGTGGGGTTTCTTAAACTGCCGCTGAATGTTTTAGAGGAGGTTTGATAAAAGGGGTTATTTGAAGAAACCAACTGGGTTTACTCTCAATTAAAAGTTATTAAAACCCTTTTTTAAAAATTGTATTTCTCCCTTGTATACAAAAAGTAGACGAATGTTTTTGACAGATTTACACAATTTGTAAAACATGTAAATATGTAAACATCATTTATCACTGTTTAGATTGTGTTACCTGTCGCTATGGAAATGCTAAAATCACTGATTCCATCAATACACAGAATTATGCTGCTAGTTTTTATTCATCATGAGCCGTCTTGGTAGAGTGGTTAGAAAATGGTCTTTTCCCCCCCGAGCTCCTTCTATTATTGTGGCTTCCTCTGTGTTGACACACACGGTTTGTGGGAATGTCTGACACGGGACTTCCCACTGATACCCCGTCCCTTCTTATCGGCGCTGTGGGTCTGAAGGAAACATGTTTGTCCGACGTTTCCACTTCCTGCTCTGCTCCCTCATTTAGCAACACGTTGTAAAGACATATCCGCGGGATCAATGTTTTCTTCAGGCGCCTGCGTGTGACTGGGGGATTCGTTGGGTATTTAAACTCTTGCTGTAAGATTATGGAGGATGAATCCGGTTCCCCTTGCAAGGATTAGCTGCATGAAGACATTCTGTAACCGCTCTGATGTTTGATAGATGAACTTATAACTCGGCCGTCCACCTCCACGATGTCAGACTATGAGCGGAACAAAAAAATGGGAGAAAACATTTGAACTGTACAGAGATGTGACCCTATGGCAACGACTGTGCATGAGGTCACATACGAACATCTGGGTTTAATGCTGCATTAGGACACGTGAGAGGAGGCTGGTTGGGAAAAGACCGGCTGCTTCCATCACTTACTCGTATTCAGTAAGTGATGGAAGCAGCTTCCAGTCCTTCTCTCCATCCACAGGACACTGCAGACTGCTCAGTCTAAGACTGTTATTTCAGAGCTGCAGTTGGTTATTGGTTCTAATTAGCAGAAAAGGGAACTCATTGTGTTATCGTTGGCTAAATATGATCTATTTTGCATCATTGTGTCGTATTTTTCATGTGCTAGCTGACTAGCATGCTACCAGAGGTTATTTCAATAAAGGATTTAGGGTTTTTTGGGCGTGCGTCCTGTGATTGACAGGTCTCTACCAGAGCAATATACAGCGTCACTGTGTCACTGCTCAGAGTTCCAAACATGGTAACTTCCCTTCACTAGTGTAACAGGATGGCACGGAGGATGGTGATAAAATGGCAGCGCAGTAGTCAGAGGCAGAGGGTGTCTTCGGAGACGTTTTAATCAGTCCATCAAAGAAACAAAATAAATCACTCCAGTCATTCCAGCCGTCAGCAAAAACCTAAACACAACACGCTGTCTTCCCCCTCGCTGCTCCTCCATCTTCCTTAAGTAGCCCCTTGACGACAGGAGGTCCAGGTGTGTCTCCTGGCACACCTGATCTTGATGAGCTTCTGACGCTCGTTTAGGTGGCCCGCCTTCCGGATACATCTCCCCTCCATCTGCCCCTCAGCTCCTTACAACAGCCACAAAAAATCCAAAAGGGCAACTAGTAACTGAGGCACAGGTCAAAACCCATGAATGGACCTTGAAAGAAATAAAAAGGACTGATTGACGTGAGAGATGTGTCCTCTGCCACCTGAGCCACAGACCTCCGATGCCATCAGGCGGAGCGGAGAGGTTGGTCCTCTGTTCATCAAGGAGGTTTTGATACTTCCAGTCTGCTACGTCTCTCAGCCACACCAACAGGAAAAAAGGCATGAGCATCATGGATGCAAAACCAGTTTGCATCCATGATGCTCTGAGGACAATTAGTTAGAAATGAGCTGATAAACAGCATGTGGATTATCAGTGAGAAATAAAATATATCAGACTTTTATGGATACACTGACTGCCACTATGGTCCAAGTGAGACTAGAGACGGAGCTAAAAATCTCTTAATATCCAGCCGTATTAACAGAATAGTATGCTACCAGTTTGACACCTTCCAATTTATAACCCTTCATTTTCTGATTAATTTCCTGTCGTCTCGGTCTCCTGTGGCCCGTGTTAATTTGTTCTCATGGGTAGAACCCCCGCCCTCCTCCCCCCGTGTAATCTCCACTTTAATTCTCAATGCTTCCTCTTCAAACTTATATTCCTGCCCTCTTCAATTTAGCTGAAGGCCCAGGCGGACGGAGCTGGATTGGCGGAGCGCAGTAAATGAATCGTTTTGTGAGTGAGATGAAATAAGAGCTGCCGAACAATAGTGCCCCCTCTTTAAAAGCGGCGACCTTCGAACCACGTGGCAGCGCGGCCGCAAACCCCCGAGGACGAAGCCATTTCAAACATCATCATGGAAAAATGATGTTGGCGGTGTGGACGGACAGCGGGGGGAGAGGCTGTGTTACCGAACTCCCCCGTGTTCCCATAATAGAGACCACACAATGGCACGCCAGCCAATTCTCTGGCCCGCTGTAAAAACGAAGCCCTATTCAGTTTTATGTAGGCCATCTGTGAGTCCACTCATTCCTAAAAATAAAGGCCGAGTGGAATAGAACATATTCGTTCGCTCTCTCTGCTCTTTTGCTCGGAGCTGAATGGGACCTCTGAAAGGAGAGAGCTGAGCCAGAGAAAACCTGTGATTGACTGAAGGCCTGTGAAGTGGGCTAAATCTATTAGTCAGACAGGACTGCAGGGTGAGGCCCTATTAACTAAAAGAAAAATTCTTATTTGAAGATTGGCCTCTTGCACAGGTGCAATAATGTATGATCATTAGTTA